GTATCTTTGCGAAGCAATTTCTTACATTATTTTGTTTGGATTTTCCTCTTACTTTAATGCATGTTTTGCAAAATATATATAACTGTTCATCTCACAAGTGGCAATTATCACATTCTATCGATTTAAAGTTCCATAAAAAAATATATTTAATCAATTACATTTGAGAAAAATGTAATTCGGTACATTCTCCAATTGATTATAAGAACTGGAAAACAAAATAGAAAACATCTTTATTAAATCTTTATTAAGTTATCTGAAGCAAAACGGATAAAGAGATCTATCTTTCTATATACCCATCGTTAACCTACAAAAATTAAGAAATTTTAAATTAACGAATTTTTTTTTTAAACTAAAATTAAAACTCCAAATGTCACGATTTTAAAATCGGAGAATGTTCAGATTCAATAATGCCAAGTAAACTAAACGTATAGGTACCTACAAAATGAACGGTACCAGAATGATAATACAAAAACTTTATAGACAGTCATACAGATGTAGTGCAATTAATGCGGTCTTCATCTGCCAATATTAACGCAATTATTCACAACCCAAACAACAGAGTCGAAATAACGATCTATAGAAAACTATATGAATCATGGGCATTTTTTACAAGAATATCTTTCATGGGCGCGAGTAGAAAGTATCATTGTAAAGAGCCTAATTATCAATTGAAAATCTTTTAATGAATGCGGCGTGTGGTGTTCGGTAGCGCACAAAGCGGTCGCTCAAACATGGCGGGCGCGTTTGATGTGCGCGCGCGCACTCCATCGCGGCTGGACGTTACATTCTCTTTTTGAACATCGAATCGCGTTTTAATTCGGTGGAATACTATCTCATCTTACATCTTTAAGACAAAAGTGAAAAATATATTTTGAAAAACTATTTTATACATTAACTAGCGACTCGTCCTAACTTCACACGGGGAATAGATCGTATTGTGCTTATATTTTTTGCATCAGCTTGTTGCGTCGAGTATGAATTAGGTGGTATAATAAGCTATCCTTAAAAAATAGACATATGTCAATGCGGTCTTTTTGTAGACCTATGAAAAAGAAACATTCCTACCAACATTGTTTTGTTATACCTATCTTAAACAGATAAGGCGGCGTTTTCGATAAAATCGCCCAGATTAAATTGCTGAAACGTTTTTAATAAAATTTCTATGCGACCAATCTTGTATAGCCTTTCAGGTAAAAAAAAAGAATTTTCCAAATTGAGTTATAACTGACGGAGTTATGTGAAACGAACATAAAAAAGAGTACCTTCTTTTTATAGGTACATTAATATCCATAACGTATTAGAAAAGAATATCGTAATCTTAACAAAAATATTGATCTAACTCAAAATTGGAAAAAAAATATTAAAACTTTATATGGTGTTTAGTGGGCAGGCCAAGTCTCACATTTGTCGCCTTTGCCGACACCCTGAAGAAACAGGAAAGGGGTTTCTAGAAATGGAGTTATTAGACTTCATTACTAGAAATAATAGGGTTAGTAGGTTATATCCTTATCAGATCGCCCTTCACGGGGTTCCCTCTAGAAATCACCGCAATTAGTTTTGATGAATTTGTCACGATGGATGGGCTAACTGGCTTGCTTTCATTCTCACCTATCGTGCTTCAAATATACATTGTCATCCATTAAAAAATACCTTTTAGATGAAAGTGTGGTATCAATTTAAAGAAATATCAAAATACGTAATTATTAATTTTACTTACAACTCATTAGTGAAGTTAATTGATACAAAACGATATAGACCATAGGGAAATATTGGTTTAATTCAACTAAAAATAACGATACATTGGTATTATTACAGACAATAGTAGTTAGAAAGGGAATGTCACAATCTTAAGTCAATAATAGAAAAACAAACCAGTATTTGTAAAGAGTTTCGTATACTACATTATAAAGTAACCTTTGTCTTTCGCCATACTAAATACTACGTGTATAGAGAAATTTCATGACTATTGGTTGAGCCATTAAGACATTGTGAGGTAACAACAAACATTTATATAGGAATTTATTGTTTTATTATTTATTCCCATTTATAGTAAACTAGCTTTTAGTCACGATTTCGCCTGTGTGACAAGGATATGTTTTCTGGCCAGGAAAAAAAGTAGCCTATATTCTTCTCCATCCTATATAGCACGTGTATACCAAATTTCATAATGATTGCTTAAGCCGTTAAAGCGCTTTAAGGTAACAAACAACTAAACTCACTTCCATATTTATAATATTAGTAAAGATACAAAAAAAAAAAAATTAGAAGCAATGTGCCTTAATGATCCTTTTTTACTTCTAGGATAATAGAGATGTAAATTTACATACATAGTTTACATACATATAAATGTATGTAAACCGTTCTAACTTTCTTATTTTTTTTTATTGTAATAACGCAGACAGCTCTTATAATTAAAATAGAGGTGATAATATATTTTTCCCGCATTCCATAAACGGAGACCCTCGGCTGCCTGTAGATTGGACTGGTGTACTCTGACAGCTTGAACCCAAGACCTCACCACTGTCACTGTCCATCCACTGTACCGTCAGCACATTACTAAAAATATTTATATTTAATTTTTTATACATGTAAATTGCTTAATAACACTCAAATATAGACACATTCACATTAGTAGGTTTTTAATAATCTAACTCTTAACCTATTATTTATTGCTAGTTTTTACTCACGAATTCGTCCGCATAACCAGGAGTTGATCGACAGGAGTAAATAGTAGACGAATGAAGAGAATATTTAGGTAGTAGTAGTAGTAGAATAAAAAAGGGCATCCTTCACTATTCCAAATAATACCAATGTGTATTTCAAATTTCAAGTTGATTAATTGAAACGTTAAGGCAAAAAGAGGTGACAAACAAACAAAGACACTTTCACATTTATAATATTATAAGAATATACTGGATAAAGATATACATCATCATCTCAGCCATTATCTATCCACTGCTGAATATAGGCCTCCTTCATATACTGCCGAAGGAACGGTCCCGAGCATGCACTGACTTTCTGCAATGATATATTATATAAATGGTAAAAACAAACTTAACAAAAATAATTTTGTGTATGAATTTTGTTAACCATAAAGTGAAATTCAAATTGAATAAAAATTGAAAATAACCAAAATACAATTAATAGATTTATATTTTTTTTTAATTTAATTAGCATGCATAAATACATTAAAAAAATTGGATTTTTAGTACCATTTAAACCTCTTGGGCTTGTGTGTGATATTTTACATTTCGTATTTGTACTCCTATTAGACGTCAGCAGACTGTATTTTGGACGGGTCCATTATTCGTATGTTAATATTTTTATTAAGATCTATTGAAATATATATATATATATATATATATATATATATATATATATATATATATATATATATATATATATATATATATATTTGCATTCCAATAGCTCAAGCTGTACCTTACGATCATTTAAGCGATTGCAATAAATTCTAAGTCTTAGACAAACTTCAAAATATTAATACATACTAAAGAAAATTTCATTAACATCACAGACATTTGAACCTTTAATTTATTGTATAATTAACAGCCATGATAGATGCTCATATATCTATATAAATTAACATGACTGCTTTACACAAATAATATATCGCCTTTTCATATATTTTTATATTATTATATTTATTGTTATTTTAGATAGAAACCTTTTACGTGATATTATTATATATTATAATTTCATAAACGACATCATAACTTTTATGCTAACGGTACATGCGCAAACGCATGAGCACGGGAGCTTCACGCATGACGGGCGCAGCGAGGGGCCAATCTCTTGTTTGTGAAGATAATCTCACTGTCTGCTCCAACTATACTCACTACACCTAACTATAATTATGTCGTAATATACTTACCAATAAAAAAACGCGTGTATATGTCTAGTTATATTTTATTCATACTACTCGTATCATACCAGAGGGAGACTTTGTACAAAAGTCGATTGCTTGGGTACCTCTGTCCCATTCGTGTTTCAACCGTGAATCAGTTGTGTTTGCATGGCTGTGTTTCGGTTTGAAGGGTGGGATATGGCGTGAATTTACTGGATACAGAGGAATAACACCTGAGTCCTCAGGAATGGCAACGCATGGGGGGTATCATGGGCGAAACAGTATACACTGTTATATCCATGGTACTGCTCACGTCTATAGGCGACGGTTACCACTTTCCATCAGGTGGGCCGTCAGCTTGTTTGCCATTCTAAGTTTTATAAAAAAAAAATACGTATTATAATACTATATCAGCCGTTAACTGTCCGCTGCCAAATATAGACTTCCCCCTATTAAGGGGTTTTTTTTATACAGTTTTGTCAGTAGTTCCCACGCAGGCGGGTTGTCAAACACAGACTTTGGTGATGTTTAAAATAAGACGCTGCTGGCTATCCTTCAACTATTAAGTTACCTTAGTTGCCTAATACGACACTCACGAGAAAAGAAAGAGTGATCCATTCTGTGCCTGGACTACACGGCAAATATAGTGAGACGTAGTATTGCAGCATATACAGGGTGAAATCAAAATCACAAGTATCATATTATAATATGTAATCTATATATGATTAAAGATGCTCTGAAGAATTGTTTGGATTGATACTTGCTGCTGATTTTCACCATCGTACAACCCGCCATAAATTAAAATTTCATCCCAACCATCTGGACGAGTGGCGGTCCTCCACCGTGCGTTTTTCAAGGCATTTTCTCCCACGCACAACCACTCTTTGGAATCAACTTCCAGCAGTAGTATTTCCGAACCGATACAACAACATAACCTTCAAGAAAAGAGCATATTCCTTTTTTAAAGGCCGGCAGCACACCTGCAATGCCGTAGGTGTTGTGGGTGACCATGGGCGGCGGTAGTCACTTACCATCAGGTGAGCCGCATGCTCGTTTGCCCCCTGTGTTGTAAAAAAAAGATGTACTACATATTTTGTTAAAATTGTTACTGAAGTTAATTTTAATTCTTTGAGTCCTGTCGTGACAGCGACGTGGTGCAATTCACGTCGAAACGTCGGCAATAAAGAAGCAGGTATGTAAGTACTATTTACCTGTAAAAGCATTTTCATTGCATTAAATCCCAATCATGAATTTAAAATACATCCAAATAACCTAAAATGTTTTATTGCATGTCTTAATCAAATAAAACAAAAATCTTTAATTCAATTAATGCTCATTTCTCTTCTTTCTGAGACACCTCAGATGCTTTCTTAGGATTCTTCTTCAATTTCTCTTTTATCTTCTCTATTTGTTCCCGTTGCTTATTAAAAAAATATCCCTCTTCTTGAGCAGCTCCATACTGACCCAATCCACCTCCTGATTCTCTGACTGCTCCACCAGACCCTCCTCCCTTACCAGCCCCTGAACCAGGAGTTCCGGAAACGGTATAATATCTTCTAGGAATCACAAGACTATCTGAGAACCTAGTACGTGCAAGGAACATAAATTTATTCAAAGATTTTATCATAGAAGAAATAACCATTTTTGCTTCTATGTAATTTATTAGATACTAATAATACTTTTTTCAATTAAATTTAGTAATATTTTATCGAAGTTCATTTGCCGCAGACACGGAAATTTTGACAGTGAATTTTGATTAAGAAAACAACTGTTTTGGCATTATCACAAAAAAATATACATATTTACAACCAGCATTCTATACATTAGAGTATCTTGTTGAATAAAACTTTTTTTATAATAAAATGAATAATTTTATTACATTAATTATAAGTGCCGAACAATCGTACCAATTGCCTCCATCTCGATGAGGAACCATGCGTGAGTGCGTGCGTGCGTACGTGCGTGCGTGCGTGCGTGCGTACCTGTGTATTTATAGCCATGTATATTGTAATGTATGATGACACTATATTTACGTTACTATCACATCTAAATAGATGTACGGTTGTATAAATATACAACGGTGTTTTTGTTTTAATATTTAGTAATTATACAAATATTCAAACGTTTAAGTAATACTTATACTGTACAATTGTTTATTATTCGATATAAGGAAAAAAAAAAACATACATCCTATTTGAATGCAATTAAAACAGTTGCTTTATTTAGGTGGCTTCTCAAGAACTAGTTGTTCTATAAAGATATTAATTTTAAATTTTATGTTAGCATCACTTACAATAATCCTGCCTGGTATTTAAGTACAAGTAAGGTGTACTAAGACAGAAAAGAATTAAAGGTGCCAAACTAATTAAAAGAATACGTAAAATATTTATTGTTTTTAAATTATCCATAAACGTGTCGATAATGCCATTAGTCTCACAAGATCAGCTAATTAGTGCAAATTACAGGATTTTTCACTAATTATTTTCAAGGTATAAATACGCGATGAAATGTGGAAGAATAGGTGTAAGAGGTAACTCATGATACCAGAATAGTTTGCTACCAATATGGAAACAATCCAGGTATGTTATTTTTTTTTTTTTTTTTATAAACTTATGACGATTTATTTTTGCATAATTATTCATAACCAAAATCATATAAAACTATCGTATTTTTTAGAGGCTGCTTTTACTCACTTTGGCTTCATCAGTTCTACATACCAGGTAATGTTTTATTTTATTTCGATAACTCCAATGTCAACCAATAATATCAATTAAGTATATTAATGTATATCTATATTCTTTGTACAATTACTTTAATAATACATTTAATTTCAGCGATGCACTATTGTCTTCTAAACACCATGCAACATCTAAAAACATAATCGATACACAAACCCAAAAATGTTTTTGTCCAGTATATAAAAGTCACAATATATTCATCCCGGACATTTTAAGTGATAATGATTCAACATTCGAGAGGCTTGTTGTATACTTTTATAGAGGTCGAGATGGTAATATTATAATGTATGTACCCAGTATAGAAACACAAAGATCTATACCAGAAATACCTCTCGAATCCAAAGATGACTTACAAGTTATTAGTTCTGAGACTATTGCTCAAATATTCGAACGTAACCCTCACATTATCAGTATAGAAAAAATGAAATCACTATATTACGATTACATAATTAAACCTAGTAATTATGTTAATAATAAGGGGCCTATTGGCGTTAATATTGGAAATATTCAGAAAAAAATATTGAAACCAGGGAAAATAACGAATGAAAAACACACTATTAGTCACCATAACTTAGAAACAGAAAATACAAATTCACAATTAAATATAGAATCTTTATATAATAAACCGAAACATGATTCAACAAAAGTGACTTCAAATGTAAAAGAATACTACCATCAACCATCATCGTATGGCAATAATGTTCCTCCAATTACTAATGATAACACTCTTCATAATCAACACATAAAAGATCAAGAAACTAATTCCTATCCAGGGTTTCATGTAAAACCGAATGTTAATCTTAGGCCAGATCGAGAAACTGACTTAATACACCATACTAATATTGCTGAAAACAATAATAATGATAACTATGACATATATGATGAGTCACAATATAATGAATATGGTTATCAAACATTTAATACGTGGTTCGACGAACAAGTGAAAATTTTACCAGAATTAAAAGAAACAGGATACAGTGATATAACAGATATTTATGTATTGAAAAAACAAATAATTAAAATTATTGAACAAAATGGTATGATCATTGGAAGAGATAATCTAGTACGAGATCTTAGTGGATCATATGTTGACATGAGAAATATGAAACTTCGTCGAATTGTTATCGAGGAAAAATTTGTGAATAATTACAATGATCCACCACTAAGTTTAGATGGTGTAATGATTACACTCGTGTATCCCCCAAAAATATTAGGTGTGATTCCTTTGAGGAGAATATACTTCTCTGAAGAAGTTGCCCAAATTACACAGCCTCTTCATGAACCACAAATACATCAATCATTAAAGCCAGTTGAACCATCACAATTAGTTCAATCAACAGCAACAAAATCAATTCAAACATCTGTGGAACCATCACAACCACTGGAACACACTAAAATCGTTTTAAATGAAATACCAGATAAATGTGCAGGATCTGTTTGCAAAAAACAACTACCTGCAGGGGGAATTATTACAGAGAAAACTAAATCAACAACTGTAGTCGATACACATACTAGCAGTCAAAATACAAATAATGACGATGAAATTGCAAAACTATTAAGATTGCAAACCGGAAGGAATTATAACACGGATTTACAAATGAGGAAACAGTCTAAGAATGACGATTCTCCACTAAAATATGTAACAAATATTTTAGACACGTATAAATTTACTCCGTTGGATCAATTGTCTAAATTGGTGAAAAATTTTATTACTCCTCTAACCAATTCTATAGGCCAATCTACTGAACCTAAAAAAGAAGCTCATAAGAAAAGTGAAGAAGATCTTGGTTTTAGAATCATCGGTGGAAATGCTGCAACAGCTAGTGGGGCGCCATTAAATATGAGAGGCAGATCTGGATTATCTGATATCTATTAGGGCAATAAAATTTCTTAGTTCTTTTAAATATACCTACTTACTCAAGATTATATCCTATTTTGTTTACATTTTCTGGTAATTCCAAATAGAAAGCATAATTTATAATTTTGTTATCGACTACTTGGCTACGAAATGGACTTGATCATGTATTTTTAATTAATAAAAACATTAATATGAGCATTGAAATAAATATTTTATGAGATGCCTATCTAACCCCTATTATTGGTGAAGGAAATTATTAATAATATGTACTAGCAAGTTGGTAGCACCAACTTTATTAAGTCAGGTCGACCTTCACGCGGTTTATCCTGGAAACCATCGTGCTTAATTCCTCTTGAATTCCTCATGATAAGCCAATTATCTAAACTTCATTCTCAACGTTCTGGCCTGCACTAGTGCTACACTATTTAATACGGATAGCATAGCAGACGGACGAATCTCACCTATCATCCTTCAAAAAAAATATTTTGTCCTAGTATGTGTGCCTTACATTTTAAGGTTTTTAACCTCTTAACTCCTGGTGGTTTTTTTTAATAAATAAAAATGAAACTCTGGTGGGACACCAGTGAGGGATGATAGATGAGAATAAAATGAGGTCAGTAAGCCCATCGTGACGAATTCGACATGAATTCTATGTATAAGAATTAACCAAGACGGTTTTTAGGGGAGTTCGAGTGGACATCAACCGGAGTATATTATTAGCAATGGAGCTGTTTACATACAGCTACCGTAAACCGACAGCCCACAGTTTTTTATCACGTATACCATAAGCAATATCAACATTGTAAAAAAACCGTATTCCGTACTGGACGTTAGTTAACATTAGAAACATTATTAATACCATCTGTTATGGAATGGCTTTACTACATGTCAATTAAGTATATAATAGGAATTAATATTTCAATGTGTCACTAGATGTCGCCTTTTCAGTTTACAATTATAAAATGGAAATATACTTATTATTAATCTATTTTTGAGATATTTTAATAGATGGCGTATATACTGAATCACAATTTATACACAAAATTACTACTAGATGGCAGTGTTTGTTTAACACTACAAGTGTCATCTAGCGGTGGTTATAGTAAGTAAACTTAAATTCAACTTGCTGTTACCGAAGTTCAACCAGTTCACAAGCTAACCAAATGAAATGAAGTAAACACAAAACGTGTTACGGACTACGGTGTGGGGTGTACCTTACTTAGTCATTTGCTTTGAGTGCTCGCTTATGGTGCGCTCAGTTGGTTGCCTCTAAAAATATCTCCGAACTCCGTATACGTAAAAACTACTTCAGTTTTCAATGACACTAAGCATGTAACAGCTTTATATGTGACAATACATTTTTTTAAAGACAAGTGTTTAAAGCAATTCTATTACAACTTTGAGTACTTTGAGATTAACTTTACATTGTTTATTCAAAGTTTATTTTGTTGTGAATTCGCGGTATTCCTGTCGTGTGTCGCTATTGTTTGTGAATGTATATGCAATTGATGGTATAGCTTTGCAAGGATGTTGTTATAACCATCCTTGTGTTTCTAGGAAAACTATTTCATATTTCATGGGATTAAACAACCGGTAAGTATTAAATTAATTTAGATAAATAGGTGTAAATTAGATACATAGTAAAATAGGTGTTATATCTCCCCTCCATTATTCTTTTTAAAAAAATATTTAATGAAATTATTTTATAAAAATTTTGTACAGGTACAGGATTCCTGCGCAAACTTTTTTATTATTTTAACACAGTAGGCCTTGGTGGTGTAGAAGCTTAATAAACTGCCACACCTTGCGAGTCGCGGGTTCGATTCCAGCACAATGTAATTTTTATATTAATGATATATGACTGTTTGTATTGGTCTCGATGTTTATTAAATATAATAATAAACAAAGAAGAGAAGCAGAAATAAAAGATTGTCTAGTATAATATAAGTTCTGCTTAGTTTAGAATTAGGTAGCGTTATGTGTATACAGTAGATATTTATTAATTTATTATTCTTATAAACAAAATAAAATAAATTACAGTAGGTAAACATTTATTCATACATATATCTATTTTATAATCAACACCCTTACTTATAAAATTTATAGTTGTAAAAATATTGTATTAAGCATGAGTAACATCGACATTGCTCAGGTATTTTTTTTTGATATTAATAATAATAATGGTATTTTGGGTATAAAACATCTGCGCTAACGGGAATACAAAGTCTGGTCAAGAGCATATTGAAAACAAAAATGAAGGGTGATAAATGAGAAATTATATAATAATAAAATAACATTAATTAAAGTTAGCCCATCATTTATGAATTTATCAGTCGACTTAAAATATGATAAATAACAATTGGATATCAGATGGTCAACAATAAAAATGAAATGTACTTATATAAAAATAAAGGTCAATAAGTAGGATATGTCATATAACGAATTATCGTGGGATTAACTCAGTCTCAATCCGATATAAAATCCCTAACAGATCACGATTCAACTTTGATGCAATTTTTTTTTTAAATGTCCCCTTATATTATCTGCTTAATAAAAATTCTCACCGCCATATTATGGTTTTTGCCAACATTAATTTTATATTAATGGTAGGATAAAGGTATCGATATTGCCCATACCGGTTGGATATATAATTTGTATATTTATTTGTTTGTCATCATTAATGTTAAATATAATAATGTTGTGATATAAATTTGTAGATATAGCGGGAAAGCGATTGTTAGTAATGGAGACTGAGAATCCCATTGCTAGCAATATACCCAACTAGGTCGACCTCCTCGCGGTTCTCCCTGGAAACTATCATAGTTAATTCCTGATGAATTCATCATGATGGGCTAACTGACCTGTTTTCATTCTCATCTATCACTCTTCACTGGTGCTCCGCCAGCGTATCCCGTTGGCGCAGGCGGTGTTACCATACCATTTTCACCAATAAAAAAAAATAGGTAGATATAAAAATATAGAGTATAATACAGCTATGATAATGAAAAGATAAATATTTTTTTATGAAATTACAACTGAAACACTCTCTAATAAATGAAATTAGCTACAAATCGATATACCCAATTAAATCATAATTTTTATTTAGACATTAGAAATCTCTTAATCGGGTCAATTATTTGTTAATTTATATTTTTAACCAACTTTAAAAAACGGAGGTTTTCAATTCGATTGTATAGTTTTCAATCGACTTTTTATTTATGTCTGTTAACTTATTATATAACACTATCAAATGGTAACCAATTTGAAGAATTCTTTTGTTACACTTACGGATTGGTATCACAGAAATTTTATAAAAATCGGTTCGGTAGTAAAAACTAATTTTTAAATCATTAAATTATATTGTAGACATCATCGTTTCATCCTTCACTGCCACCTCGCTATTACATACCCTTCATCCTTATGTTAGTCGGATGTATCTATCTTCATCCATAAAAAAAAATCCCCTCTCTTAATCTTTAAAACAAGCAATACGAATAGACATAACGAACTTTACGGTTCATGTACTCGGTCCGTAACTATGTTTAACTGTCTGTGTCTTGTTACCACTTACCATAATAAAAACAAACTAAACAATACTTAGATACGTTCCCGCCATCTCGTTCCCAAGCTGGATAACGGGTGGGCAGAATTGAATTTAAATTACCTAATTAAAAAATGGGATTTCGTAAGGCCATATTAGATATTAAGGTATTAATCATTCTCTTAGGAATGTTTAAACTAATAAATATAAATCAATAATAAATAATGTTTAATCAATATATAAAGTATCCTATGTTAGGATATAACCTATCCGTGTATTAAATGTCATCCAAATCTGTTTAGTAGTTTTTGCATGAAAGAGTAATAATCGTCTGTCCATGTTCTCTATTTTTTGTATTTAGTAAAATTGTATCAGTATAAAAATCGAAGCACTCTCAAAATGAATATATATAATTAGCAACATATCAACCAATATAACTGTTAAACATACGACTTCTCATAGACTCATAAGGAACGATTCCATGCCATTTGTATCCACTAACTCCCTGCAATGCATTTGAGATCATCGCTTCATCCAGTTGGGTAATAATACACTGCGTTGGCCTGTACGAGGTCGCCATTCAAGAATCTTTCGTCCACATCGGTTAATGGTTCTTCGAGCTATTTGACCAGCCCATTAGCCATTTTAATTTGCTTATTCTTCGGGCTAATACAGCCACTTTGGTTGTTCTGCGGATACCCTCATTTTCTTATTAATATATGTAATTAATTAAATAAATAATTATTTAGTAATATAGTACTTACGAAACTTTTAGAAATAAAATCTCGAAATTGTAATTTTTGTGAAAATGATTTTAATCTTTTGAACAAATTAACGACTAGACGTTTTCCGTAACTGCATACAATACATTGAGAATATTTAAATTTAGAACGCGGAACTTTTTGTTAATGTAATAGTCTTTGCTTCCTAAGCATTTTTGCTCTGCAAAGCCGTGTCGGTAGCTTTAATCGTATCATAATTAAAATTGTGTTTCACAATAAAATAGCCAACCAATCGTGGCAAAATCATTATTTTGATTTTAAAACTGAATTACTTAATCGATTTTGATAAAATTTCTATAGAACCAATCTGAATTTTTATCCTTTCAAATAAAAAAAATTAACATGCAAGCTTATAGCTAAAAAATATAGACAAATTGTTTAAATCACTAATATTATAAATATTTTTTTTATACAACTTAGAACTTTTATACAAATAGGAAGTAAATTTGTTTATACCTCAACAAATCACCGTAAAATTTAGTATCATCATATATGCCGCTGACTGTCCACAGCTAGACGTAGGCATCTCCCACAAGGAGGGTTTTGCTAATAATTGTCTTGCCTACCAGGCGAGTTGGCAAACAAAGGTTTTCGTTATGTTTTATGAGAATCGAATATCAAAAAACGCCAGCAATTAGCCGTTTTTTGATATTCGATGCTCTATCTAAATTATAGTATTTATATCTAAGTATATATCTCTTTATTTTCAGGTATATACCAATAGTTTACAATTACATTATTAATTATACAAACTATTATTATTATTTTTAAAAATACACATTAATTATAAAATACTAATTTAAATTATTTCATTATAAAATCTTTCGCCGTCAGGTATGCAGTGAGGAATACAGTCTTTATAATATGCCAATGAATTTTGCCCTATAATTACGTAAAATAGCAAAAAAATCATTAACCCTGGTCTCTGCAAACATGCCAGACGCACTACACCGCCATGGAAAAGCAAAATCTGTTTGCAAAATAAAAAGAAGATACGTTCAAAATAGTGGATACCTATGTGTTAAATATTCATATTACGATGGGAATTTTTTTTACAAATATAACACCAAAGTGCCAACTCACAATAGTACACAATGCATTGCACAAGAACGTCATAAATATTTATGTAAGCACAAGCAAAAATTTTACATTCCTCAATGTCACACGGAAGGTGATACAAGGTAGCCGATATAAAAGTTCATACAACAATCACATCCAGATCTCATCGAGTTTATGAATTTTTTTATTCATTACTAACATTTACCCGCGAGTTCGGTCGCCTAATCGATATATATATTCATTGACCGGGATAAAAGTAGCTTTATATCCTTCTCAAATTTCATAAGGATTGGTTAAGTAAGGTTGTGGAATGAGCTCCCTGTCGAGGTTTTCCCAAGAGACTACAGAATGGGGTTCTTCAATAATTCTTCAGGGTCGGCAACGCATGGGTGAAACAGTATACTCTGGTATTGCATGGTGTTCATACACTACGTTAACCACTTACCATCAGGTGGGCCGTCAGCTTGTTTGCCACCTCAGTGGTATAAAAAAAAAATAGTCATAAGATAACTAAAAAAATAAAAATCAATTTCATATTTTTACTGATATAAACAAGCACACGGCCCAACTCATGGCAAATTGTTACTGTACAATGAACGTCTGCAATATTTATGTAAGCACAAGCAAAAATTTTACATTCGCTCGTGTCACACGGAAGGTGATACAAGGTTTATCCGTATTTAAAACAATCACATCCAGATCTCATGGAAAATCCTTTTTTACAGAAAACTCTACTATTCGGTCGCCTAATCGATATATATATATTCATGAATACATTTAAAATAGCTTTATATCCTTCAAATATTAATAAGTTGAGAAATTAACCTTCCAATAATGAATACGAGCAACGAGTTAATTCTGTCCAGTAAATTTTGCGTGAAAGAGAGAAAGAGCACGGCAAGGTGCACGTAACACCCCTAATACCTTTGGTATTGCAGGGATTGTTAGGAATGGAGATTGACACCCCTATTGTTAGCAATATACCCTATTAGGTCGACCTCCACGTGGTTCCCCCTGGAAACCATCGTGAACAATTCTTATTGAATTCGTCACGATGGGCTAACTGACTTGCTTCATCCTCACCTATCATCCTTCACTGGTGCCCCGCCGGTGTATACCGATAGCGCAGGTGGAGTTACCATTCCATTATCACCCATTAAAAAAAACACCTCTAGTGTTACAGGTGACTATAAGCTACAGTGATCCTTTAC